AGGTCGCAGCTGTTCACACGCTATTTCGTAAAATTGCCCGAGAACAGTAAATTCTCACCCGCGATTTTCGAGAAGCACCCGGGAGGACGAAAATTGCACCCGCGATTTTCCAACTTCACCCTTGAAGAGCCTCTTTTCACCCGCGGTATTCTAAAAAATGCCCATTATTCCAGTCTGGCAAAGAGAGACAATGCACGCTACCCAGTGAGATCATCGAAAAATGTGTCAAATTTGACAGTTGACCTTGCTCTACCAAATAGTGAATAACTGGTTGTATAGGAAGAATATTATGGTTTGAGACTTTTAAATATGTCTGTGAATTTATTAGGAATCCTTTAAGTATACTTGTATTTGCTGATTTCGAGTGCTAAATAAATTAATAGATGATTAAGTTGAGAAATGGATTTAGACACATGAAAACTAATTCCGTCACCACTTGAATTGGACACACACAAATCGTTCCAAGCTGTGTACAGAAATTAAAATTTGCTCAATTAAAAGCTTAATAGTTGTTAATTAAAAGCGTAATTAAGTAGCGTTCAATATTCATTAGTGTTCTAATACAAAGCTGTGTTGTATTCCAATACAGCTCACACAGCGAACAGAATTCAAACACGTGGATGATGGCATTACGTATCAGTAGAATTTGAAGCGCAGACGGAATACGCCTCACCACGTGCCAAATATAGCCACACACAGTGACGGAATATAGGGATTTGGTAGGTTTGCATTCTAAAGGCTTTTAAATAAATACAGCAACATTTTGTGACGTTTTGTTGTTGCTGACGCGTAGTGCAGTGTTTTGAGAGTCACATAAAGCAAACAGAACTTGAGTAATGCATACGGTTATTTTTTTATAGTTTTTCATTTCTCAATGCGTCCTTAATGTGACGTAATATACCGCGTTTACCCTAATTGCTAACAAAACTGCTTTCAAAAATTATTTAGAATATAATACTTTGAAGCTGTAAAATTAATAATTTTAGTATGAATTTATGGATAAGGGAAAACTAGGTACGAGTGAAACCCACTTGAGAATTAGAGATTTAGAGTAAATCATTAAAATGGTATACTTGTTTCAGTGTTTGTTAATTGTGTATGACTGAACCAAAATACATGACTTGGGGCAGCAAGATTTCAGATAAGATGAAAAAGGATGGCTTTGGAATTTGGATCCATAATATTTTAGAAATAATAGGATTATGCCAATCCTGATATGCTTGGCAGTGGTTCAATATATCTAACTTTTTGAGCCACAACTAGAGCTTTCCCACCATTAATAAAGCCACAAGATTGCCTGCAAGCTGTAGATGAATCAAATTGTATATAATTATTGATTAAAGGTGCATCACCAGGCCACAAGGTTCAAAATGAAAAATTTTCACCTTTGGGCTATGTAAGATTGCCGAATAAGTAGGAAAATTCAGATTCTGGTCTCATTAGCCCATCATTGTTATATATTGGCTGCTTATTTTATAGTGGCAATATGGCAAACAAAATAAGCTTTAAAACCAGTTCATTCTAATTTCCTAATGTACCTTATTGACAATTAGTTCTTTATCTTATCTGCATGGTATTAATGCTTGTAGCCTTTATGTAGCCACCCATGAATGAAATTGAAGCACCTGTGCTTTCAGTAGACTTGACCTATTTTATGAGATTTGCCCGATTTCTTTCATAAAAAAATGATACGTTTTTATCTATTATTTTAAAAACAACCAAATAGCTATTATTTTCGCTTGTAATTGTTTTGAAATTCTGCCCAATATTCCAAATTTGATGATACCTACTGTTTTACTTATAGACTTGATAGGAATGTATTTATTGTTTATTTATAGTAGGTATTTATTATACTGATATTTTTCAACATTTAAATATCATTGCATCAAACTAGGGTAGTAGATACTGCAAAGCATTTTATGGTATCACCTTTTTTTGACCATCATTTCATTAATTCAATAATATCTAATCTGTTATCATATAAATTTATTTTCAGGTACCTTATTGCATTTTCAGCTGACCAAACATGCGTTGAGATTTACAACTACAGAGGAGCCTTGGCTGCAAATGAGCTACTCTCCAACTGCCCCATACCTGTGGTCTGTTATTAAAGCAACTATTTTTTTTAATCTATGTCATATTATTATTACTTATTACTATGTCATATTATATTATTAAATTATCACTTTTGTGCCCAAACAAATTTCTCAGGTAAATGCAAATTGATTGTTTAATGCATTGCTAAAACTTTTATTTGTTTGGTTGATAAAATCAGGAATGTAAGGAAAATTTTCATGATGTAATGAACTGAATTTGCCTAATCAATTGTAATGCTAGACAGATCATATTGTTTCAAACATTGTATAATGGCTTTATAATTTCTTGACTGGCTTTTCAGATTTTTACAATATTGGTAAATTCCATGTTTTATCCATACAAACCTCATTAAAGTTATAAAAAGAGAGACTGCTCAGTGACATAGCACCTTTCTATAATAGTTCTCAATTCCATGTAATGTCATTACTAATTTCATTGAACTTAACGTGGCCAGGGAGACACCGTGCTGCACAGCGATGTACCGCTCGTGGCCCACGTGCTTAACAGAATTTTTGATTGCTTCTTCCGCCTACGATCGTCCGTCCACGTGGCCGGGAGTCTCGAACAGCTTAATAGAGAGTGCAGCGTCTTCAGCACCGACTGCAGGCGCGTGATGGCCATGCCTTTACCATCTTCTTATGCTGAAATATTTATGTTTTTTAGAGTTTGAAATAAAATAACATGGTTTTATGTTAGTATTGGTGGCTGGTGGGGAAAAAAATATATACGTAGGTAACTCAGTACTCACTGTAGTGAGTGACAGAGAGCGCATTTTCTCGTCAACGAAAACGTGAAGTCACGGACGGACACAGACGGACGGATAGACGGACATGGCGAGCACAATAGTGCATTTTTTATAAATGAGAAAATGCGCTAAAAAGTACCGTTTCTTTGCTTGTAAATAATTTTTGAACTTCAAATGCAAGTATTTTACTGATTCTTTTTTTTTTAATTTATGGAAGTTCTTTTGCACGAGTAGGAATATAAACACATTTCGAGTGTATTCAATCAGTTCTACTCATAAAGACTGACTAATAACACTTAGTTGACAGGAAAGTTGATAAGATGCATGTTCCAGGTTCCTCATTGTGGGTTGTTCAAGCACCCGTGATCCCTCCGGCAACAGTCGTCTCGCCGACGCCTACCGGTACAATGAGAGCCTCACACCCAACCCTAGAGCCCCCCTAGATGACTACTCTATTTACGTGGTACATTTAACGTCTCTTAAATTAAGAAATTATCATTTATTTTCATTGATTGAACAAATGCAACTTGTATATGTATATTTTTAATACCTACTGTATGTCATGCAATACCATTAAAATCACATGTATTCATGAGCATTGTGTATGAATTAATTTTCATTAATTTCATGTTTTGCAGATAAACCTCGAGCTTGGGATCGTGATGGACAGCATTTCGTTCAAGAACGACAAGCTCTTCTTGTCTCACAACCAATGCATGAGTCTGTACAAGCAGACGCTCGTCATCCTGTCTACACAACACCAGACCCTACACCGCTACCACTTGGGCACGGATGGCAAACTTACTCTCATACAAAATATCGGACGCACATGTTTTGCTGATGACGACGTTCTCTTAAACTCGTGCGTTGCACACGACTGCGCTCACTTGTCAAACATGACTCAACCCATCAGAACTGCGGAAGAAAACTTAGAATTAAACAATTTCGAAGGCAATAATTTTGATATGGATCAAGATGATAGAGAAAACGCAGCAAGTGCTGAAGAACAAGCCTCAACTCTCTTCAATCTCTTGTCATCGTTTGACTCCAGTTATGTTTCCACCAGCCAAGCTAACTCAAATATCCCAGCCAGTTCTGCTGCCACGTCTCGCCCGTCTTCGTCTGACGGTTCAGTCCAAGGACCTTCGTCTTCCTCGTCGGCTTCCTCATCGTTCTCGCAAGCTTCATCTTTATTTTCAACGCCTCCCTGGCCTGGCGGGACATCTCTTTTTCCACTTCTAACTCCTCAACGGTAAGAAAAAATTTTTCATAGAATAATTATATGAGGATTTTCGTCAATACCTACAATCACTTTAGTGACTATCTTGGAAATATTTAAAAAATGGAAGAATCAACTATACCAATCTTAGCCATTCCTACATACTAGAGATATTTTTAGTATGTGTTTCGCGCTTCTAAAAAAACTGTAAAATTTTCGCCCAGCTGTTAATGGTATTACGCAAATGTTGATCATTACCGTACCTTTTCATAGGTAACCATTACCTTTTTATAGATCGTACGAAGAGCTGTTCAAAGATATAACTTGCCATTTATCACAAGGTTGTTACGATTGAAATTTCAACTCATTTCTCGGCCAGCCAGTAAATCGACTGCGTTGCCTTTGCTATTTCTCAGCTGTCATGCTAGTGCTGGTTGATCTGTAACATAACATGATCTTGTTAGGCGTCAAATTACGATGTTTACTTCACACATGCCAATAAATGAGTGAAGTTTTTTTCCTTATAACGATGCTCTTCTAGCTCATGCATGGGTAAACCTGACGGTGTTTGAACGGGCAAAAAGAGTTATCAGTGCCACGTCCTCTCCTTGCTCGTACTGTGTTATAGTGTGTGTGCCAATATCAGTTCCTATACTTTCAAAAAAAGTTAAGTGATCGTAAGTTCATCAGCCAATCATTGACGGCCTTTCAAGCAAAATCCACCAATCGTAGATAAGAAAATAGAGCCTAAGTACTTACGTTCACTTAGCGAGCTTTGAAAGTATATTCCCTGAACAATTTGATCAAATAATATTTCTGGGTGCAGGAGTGCGGGAGGCCCGCCTGTATTTGGACCTCCTCCCACCAGCGGGGCCGGGACGTCTCGGAGCGCCGCCCCCCAACACGACCACAAGGAAGGACCTTACATTATATACTCTCTTAAACATCGGTGAGAAATTCTCCTTGATTTGGTTGTTTATTTATTATTGTTATTATGGTCATTCTATACTAATCAGAATTTTTAGTTTGGGTTTTTATTGATCTCAATCATGCGGCGAATTCGTTCACACCCAATTGTTTCATTTTCACTCCTTTCATAGCGACCAGCGCATTTATGTTTCTTGGTTTATCTTGAATCCCTCAATTAAAGTGAAGAATTTTAGTAAAAATATCATTTCAATTTATCTAGGTCGCCGACCCAATAAGTTTAAATTTTCGTTCATACGCTAAGATAAATGAATGAGAATTTGTTCAAATATCGATGTGGTTTTTGCCCATTGTGTGGGTCATGCTTTAGCTCGAAAAAAGTGCTTATCAGTGCTACGTCCACTCTCTGCTCGTGCTGTGGGTAGGAAAAATCATCAATATTCAAGGAATATGACCCATTAATTTTTCTGTGTACTACTCCATGCAACTGTCGTGCGTGTATCAGGAAATGTCTCCAAGAATTTAAGCTTTGAAACATGGGTCTGGATTATCGATTTGAAACTTTAAATATTTTATTCCTAAGCTACGTGTGTTTTTTATCTTGAATTGTCGTAAGAATTTTTGATATCACATCCAGTTTCGACAATTTCCTTCATTTTCATTATGATTTTGCTCGGTTGTAAGGCTGCTCACGTTCCTACACCGCGTGGCTGAGACGCAGTGCCGGCAGCGGGGCTCTAACGAGCCCATGAGGCTTTTTTGTGCCTCTTTTGACAACTTCTTGAACCTGCGCATGGTGAAGATGCAGCTGCTGGATGAAGAACATCTCTTCATTAAAGTCAGTTCTAATCTCAATTAGTAGTATTTTTATCTTTGATTTATCTTAATTATTTTCTGCAGTAATGTGAAGATCATTAATTTTACATGTATAGAACTTGTGTGTTGTTTATATTGTTAGGATCTTTGTAGTCTTCTATACCGATGCGTAAGAATTAATTGCATTCAATAATTTTTTTCTCAATTGTGAAATTAATCCGGCGTTGTTGAGTAAGTGACTATCGATGTTGATGGTTCGATATTATACTTTATCACTGAGAGCTTCCCTGCAGTACGGATCTGAAGACCTGGCCACTCAACGCACGTCAGAGCCGGGAGTGAAGCCTTTCTACTTCGCCCTCTACAACATGAACACAACCGAGGTTTGCTACTTCTTAGTTCTGTATTCTTTATACCCACTAGAAGACACGACTACATTACTGTATACTCAATCAATATGATTATAACCCTCCAAACATTTGACGTGAAATCAACGTTGAATTCACGCTGATTTTGTTCCCTCCAGCCATCTGACGTTGATTCTCAACGTTGAGCCATCGTTCAAGCAACGTTATTTCAAAATTATCAAAATGTTTTCAGTATGTATAATGTAATACGTAAGCGTCACAGGCGACTGATGGCAGACTTTGTGCAGATAATCGGAGTTTACGAAGGCAGCAGCAAGCAGATGATGAGCATCTACGAGCGCTACACGGACTTCTTCAGGAACCCGCGGCTGCCATGTGAGCCCAACAGCGCCTGCTCTCCCGCCAACAACATCCATTCCAGGTCTGTGGCAAGACATTCAATTATTATTATCTATTTAAGACACTGCATTTAATAAAATGCTTGTCTACGGATTCATTCGTTTCTAAAGAAATACAATAAGGAAAAGGAATTGGTCATAAGGTATTGTCTAGTGAGGCAATTTCTCCACGTGGCACTGAAAAGCCCACCTGTCTGGCCAAACTAGGTCAGGATGACCCACACAAAGCCAAAAAATACTTTATCTTCTTGGAAATAATCTCGCTCATTCCTTTGAGTGTAGTTGTGGTAGGTAGTTAACGTAACTTGATTGGGGTTTAATGCACTAACGGGAAATTCGCAAACAGGCCATCAACGATGTAAATTTTTCGTTATTTCTACCCTGCTGCGACGTGTCAGATTTTCCCTATTAATGCGCAAGACGGGTTTCTCTTCACTGTATTTTTCCTTCACACTTGAGATGTGATGCACCGCACATGGTTTCACGGGACATAAAGATGTTCCTCTCACCAATCTTTCTCATTCAAAAATGTCATTGTTAGAGTTAATTTCGGATTTTTTTGAAGTGAAATATCCCCTATAGGCCCTAAACGAGCACCGAGGATCTGGAAGCTACATGATTCTTTCTCGCTTGCATCAATGTAGCGTGATTTCTATCTCAAATGTTACATTTTTTGGCCATTAATATTTCTCAATACATACACGCATTTCTTTCTTATATGCATCCATTTCGATTGTTTCATGCCTAGTTTTCAGGATTAGTTTTCCCAATGCTTTACTGAGCGTGAGAAATGAATGTTCAGGTTGATGCTGGAGCGACAGAAGGCGACATGGACGAGCATCAGGTCAGGCAGCGCACGTGAAGCCTACAAGCGGATCCTGGTGCAGCTGCCGGTGCCGTGTCAGAACCACAGCTGCAGCCCGTACCTCGACCTCTCGCTCTTCAACTACCTCGATAAATGCGTCTCTGTTATTGAAAGACCCAAGGCAACCACTGACCAGCCCATCAGGTGACAAATGAACTCATCACCATTAAAGCGAGCTGTGTACTTGTGGGTAATAAATATTAAATAGATAAAATGACACAATCTTCAATCGACAAACATTAAATAAATAAAAATGCCACACTCTTTAGATGGTGTCTCGATGTAAGCAGTGCTGCGTTATTCAAGTAACAGAAGTTGGCTCGGGTATCATGCAGGTTCTTATTGCGGAAATGAGTTATAATATTAAACTAATTTATCTTGAAAAATCTCAGAATTATTGATAAAAAGAGCAATGAATTTTCAGATATATCGGACCTAACCTCCATAGACCGCTGAAAAATTGATAATGGAAATATAGTGTGGTCTGATTTAATTAGGCCTTGTTAACCTGTAGCCGATTATTGACCGCCGGGCCACTTTGCCAATTTCGAACAGAAATTTCGCAGATAGTTACGGGACTCGAACCTCCAACTCGCTGATCAAATCCTTGTTATTTTAAGCACTCTGCCACTGCGAAATATGTTTCCCACTTTTATACAGTAGCTTAAACTTAAACTTCTGATTTTTTGAGACGTTATTTAGTCTAATTATTTGCGATCCGTGATTCACGCATGTTTTCTTAAAATTGAATTTACTCCTTGAATTTCGTGCATATCTCTGTTTCTTTATACCTCTCAATATTTTTCACAACACCAGATTTTACGGACGCAAGTCAGGGCTGCTGAAGTTCACGCTTGACGTGGGCACGCGATCAGGCATCGGTGCGCACTCGAGCGTCCCACCGCGGCGTCTCGTGGCCTTCTACTTTCATCCCACCGACCCCTTCGCAGTGTCCGTGCAGAAATACCATGACGATTATGTTGTTAACTTCCACGTGCGTCATCATCCCACATGATCTGCTTCAGGACTGCCAATACTATGATGACTATGTTGTTAATTTCCACGAGTGGCGTCATCCTACATGATCTGCCTCATGACTGTCAATATCATGACGGCTATGTTGTTAACTTCCACGTGCGTCATCATCATACATGAACTGCCTCATGACTGCCAATACTATGATGACTATGTTGTTAACTTCCACGAGCTGCGTCATACCACATGACCTGCCTCATGACTGCCAATATCATGATGACTATGTTGTTAACTTCCACTAGCGGCGTCGTACCCATGATTTGCCTCATGATATGACGACTATGTCGTTAACTTCCTTGTGCATCTTTCCAAATGATCTGCCTCGTGCCATGATGACTATGTTACTAACTTCCACGGGCGTTTGTTTTTTGAAGACACATGAAATAAATAAGTTTAAGTTTGATGAGCGTTTCTTTATTAACGTGTGTTGTTCATTAGATATTTCTCATCCAAAGCGCAGTGCTTCAAAGGACATGAGAAATACACCTTGCAGTGGATACTTGTAGTCGTTGAGGAAGATAACTTTATTTGTTTTTATGTTATCACAGAGATCTAATTAGACGAGATGCTCGCTGCAAGCATACTACTGTGATCTTTCTCTTCTTCATAGTCATGATGCGTTTTATGTAATGTTAAGTAGCGTCGTGTTTAGGATTGGAATATGTGGAATTTTTTTCAGTGTTTTTTTTTTCAGTTAATCCAGTTTTTTTCATAAAATGGATTAATTAGCATTCACAGGACGTTTCATAACATTTTATCCCAATGATTTCAAGGAAAACATTAAGTTATTCGGTCCGATCACACCGAGTGCATTTTTAAAATAATATTTTCACAGTAATCTTTATTGATTTCATTTTGAAATGTAGAAAGTTATCTTTAGAACCTATAAAAGAAATTTAAATGTTACCCATCTGTTCGTGATTACTGAACAAAGTATTATCAATAAATGTACGGATGATAGCGTTGGTGCTTCTCATGCCGGGGTATTGTGGTAAGACAGTTGGATAAATTTCTGTTCTATTCTTTTATGGTTTTTATTTTCTTATTACAGTAATGCTCATATTTTATCGAAAGACTGGAATGAATTTAAGTTTGCGTATCAAGTATTAAGGTTAAATTGGAGCACGCTTTCATATTAGCATTTATAAAACAGGACTCGTTATAAATATTTAGGTGCTCTATTTGCTCTATTTATTTTGCTCCTGCATTTCATTCTAGGCTCAAGATTCATGATTAACATCACGGGAATATGCTTATCACGGATCATTCACATTAATTATATTTTTGCACTGTAATCTCTGTAGAACTTCATTGGAATCGCATTATTCATTAACCAAGCTAAACATTTCTCAGCTTTATTAGAAAATATATCAATACATTTAGACATATTCTCGAAAGGTAGATTCAAGATGTAGGCATGATGTGTAAGAATAGAAACGATAACTCTAGTTTCTCCTACTGCTGGTCAGTAGAGGATAAATAAAATGTACGAAGATTACGATTCTTTTATTCGTCTCGGGGAATTAACAATACGCATATATTTTTTAACGCTAGAACATTACTTAGCTTGGAGATTATGACTGTCTTCTCTTTGTACATCACATCATATTTACACCTACTCGTTAACAACAATTTGACCAGGTTAAATTGAAGCCGATCATTATAAAACCTCAAAAAATCTCAATTATTTTATTTCGACCGGAAAAGTTGTTTTCTGTAGGATTTTCAAACTGCCTTCAAACATCAACCTTGTAGCAAAATGCTAGGAAGAAAAATAGTATTTTATGAGGAAACTTTTTACTTTTTCCGAACCAAAGTCATTTTGAATTTTGAAACAAAAAAAAAAACCTTAACTGCTCGAGATCCTTTTCGCAGTGTTGGGGAGGTTTGTAGATGAGGCCTTCTATACTCTTCTCTACGTAAACTTAAGTATTTAATGACGGCTAGGCTGAGTTCCCGGGGACAAGGTCACCATCCATATAATTTCTGGGGTGATTAATTTTTTATAGTATTTAGCAAGTCAGAAGATCATGACGATCGGCCGTAATGATTGTCAACAATCTACAGATTAATGAGACGGAAAAAATACATGAGACGATCGATCGGAGGAAGAGCTCCTAGAACGTTCCTACGAACTTAATTAACAGTACAGACATTGCATTCTAATAAATCTAAAGCAAACGAGTATTTTTACATGTCCTTATGAGAAAAGAAATCTTTTAGCGAAAGTAAACACAGATATCTATGTACAATTCGTCATGATTAGAGTTCTTATTTCATAAAGTTTTCTATGTGACTCTTCTGAGTTCTTCCTGCCTTATAGCCTATAGGTACTCACTAACCTCTCATCAAGCCGACCACCATTTACATTTGAGCTCCTGGCAACATGGGTACGACAACTTGGGTACTTCACCAAATGCTAAATATGTTCAATCGCATGTGCAAAATATCATTTTCTCGACCTACTCACAAGTTAGCGCTACTTTTGTTTTGCATGTCTTTTCAATTGCGAAAGTCAGGCCATGTAGGTATCAAAAATTCCTATAGGCTGAAATGGAGCGAAAAAGTACTTGAATACTTCCTTTCAATTAAATAGATCCATGTCTCTAAGGGCATTAAACCTAACTACTTTTGTATTTTACCTGAATGCTTCACTTAATTCTGTAGAGAAAACTCTTGAGTGTTAAGCCTCAGTCAATGACTAATAGTCAGCAGTTCTGAATATCTTATTCATACTAGCTGGAATTAGTCAAATATTTTCTATCGAACGCCGAGGATATGATACACGAATGATTATTTACAGAGTAAACGTCCCTCGTGGGAAGAAACAGAGATTATAAATAAATTACTTACTGTAATTGCTTTGACTTATTTTGCTTATTTTGCTTATTTTATTTTATTTTTTTTTGCTTATTTTTGCTGTATGAAATTCAGTCAAATCTCTTGACGAATTTGATTTTTCTAATCCAGTATCATTTTAGCGATGCATCTAAAAATAAAAACAAAAGTAGGAGAACGAATTATTTCATGTTGAGTATAGTTGACATTTTCTAGTTCTATTGGGAATAAAATTATTGAGATATTCATAAATTTCTGTTAATAAGCTTATAATAGCTGCCTATAAATTTATGAAGGATAGCTGTACCAACCGCAAGCAAAACTATTCCGTTTGGGCTAAGAGTGTTTACTCACAATCCCAAAAGCAATCAATATTAATATGATTAGAATTTTGTCCACACTAACGACAGAAAAGAATCTTTCCACCGTGTACGCTATAATACCGCAATCTCCATTTAACACAGTTTAGGCTATAATACCATGTTCTCCATTTAACAAAGTTCACGCTATAATACAGTGGTCTCCGATTAATGAACATTAGCGCCACAACTTGGTTTAATCGCGTATCTCAAAAAGCAAGTTATTTATATGGAAAGTTTACCGGAATAATTTGTAGAAATCAAATAAATTAAAATTTAAGATTTGAGCAAAGGTAAACTGATTGTATCTTCCCACCGAATGATTAATGTATAATAACGTTCAAAATTTTAATATTTATGATGAAATGTCATGGGCGGTTCCGTGGATTGCTTCGCCACGTAACAGGGTTATTAACGTAACATACATTTTATTTGAGTATCATTGAATTAGTTTGAACTTGAAAAAAATTTGAGTAATGTAAACTACATATTTCCTACTGTGCCTCATACTAAATTTTATATAATATAAGGAATCTTCTGTAACGATACAATAATAGTTCAGAGATATTAAAGCGCCTATTGCTACAATATTGAGGATTTTCTCAGCCACGCACAATAACATGTATTTACAGTCAAGATAAGACGCTGGAGGTTCAATACTAACATTCGATGAGGACTAAAGGATAACTCTATACAGTTTACACGCTGGTAAAATTCGCACGAATTTGTATTTGGACGTAAAAAGTGGTAAAAGTTTTATCGTTAAAAAAATTGGTTAGATATTTCAAAGTTACACTGCTCAGTTTGCGATTAATTTTGATCACAACTCTACTTCTCATCAAAAACCGTTGCATTATTAGTCTAATTTCAGGGAGTTTGTGAAAATTATTGAATCAAGACTGAATAATTTAATAAGATCGCTCATTAGTACGTGAACTTAGTTATACCCATGCATGTTCATGAAGCAAACGTACGACACATCGACATAAAATTTGATTATCATTACTTTTCCCCTTCCTCAGTGCGCTGCGATGATGAAAGCGATGGTAAGTTTTTGAATCGTCTCGATGTGCCAATCATATTAACATTCAGCAGCGGTATGAATATCATTCGAAGATCACTAAGCTGAAAAACTCAAAATTCGGATTGCCAGCGACGTGAAGCCGATTGCCACCAGCCCTGTTGGTCAGCAAATTAAACCTACTGTTATTATTTTAATTTACGGAAACAAAATAGTCAAAGCTGTCTGTAAGAAACGGCTAAAGCGTAAAATTTATATAAATTTAAGATTTTAAATTAAAGTTTGAATTCTTTTGAAGATTTTTATGCATAATATAAGTTGAGCGATCTCACCCTGGCTCAGTCGAGAATGGCAGGCGCAGCTGAAGTCATCTTCACCCTCGAAAGTCACCCCGAACCTCCGACTTTCCGGCTCTTGCCCTCGTCTCATGCCCATGCCGGTCTCATAGTCCCCTCTCGCCACGCCGGGGGCATAAGTTGCTCGGTCCGCATCGTTCCATTGGCTGCCCCCAGGCACTGCGTTTGTTCGGTCCAGCGGTCCGACGGTGAGGTTTATTATCTCGGAAATATCTGAGTTAGAATTCGAAGCCTCCTGCCCTACTTCCTTTGAGGTTTTACTTTTACGTCCGTTTCCTGTAATTGTATTAGAAAGGAATTCAACGAAACAAATAATTAAAATTTTTTATAAAGCTAAGCCAAGGGGGCAAATGTCCCTTCCCGAGACCAATATACTTACTAGACGGAAACCTGATATCAAACGAAGAAGATATGAAACGCTAATTTTTGTTAACAGAGCGTTGTGTAAACGATGAAGACGAGCAAGAACATCTTTCAACTATCATCTTGTCTCTCACCTGGCCTCGTCTCGAGTCGCTGCTTCTGCAGGCTCGGTCTGTTCGTTGGTCGCAGCACTTCTGAAATTCATGGCAACAAGAATTGAGGTAATAAAATAGCTCTCAGGCATTATTATCTGAGTATCTGAAATTGGTTTCGTGGGGTATTTTTCAACACTTGATATACATTTGTGTGCAGTACAAATTAATTAACTCACAAGTGTATCTGCAAAATTATTGTTACCGTATAATTTAATGGAGCCGTTGGTCTCAGCGAAAGAGTTTTTGGCGATGCACAGATACATGCCGAAGTCTTCCTCTTGTAAATCTGCGCGTGATGAAACAAATGAAGAATAATTACACTCGAAATATAGTGCAATGACTTATATTTACTGTATAATAATACACTGCCCGAACGCAATTCAACACTTGACAATAACATTACGTGACAATGAAAATAGTTGCAAAAAGTTCACGTAATTCTAGCGAAAACGTGTAGAAACACAAATAAGAAGACAGTTCTAGAGGACAATATGTATGAATGTATGACGCTTCTAGAGGACAATTGTGACAAGATATGCATATATATCCTGCATAACCGCCCTGAAGAGCATATGAAACATTGATCGGCGAGTACAGTATATCCCACCGTTGTTAATGAGATAAATGAAAAACGCGTGATGTTGTCGGGCTTTCAAAAGGTCATCCTTTATACCACTGCTCCCAATATGCCTGCGTATCATGCATATCTATTTTATTAATCTGCTGATGAGATAGATTTTTATTTTGACTGCCGTTCAACTATCAAAAATAAGTCTGATGTCATGCTTTACAACGACCATTCCCACCACTGATGACAAGATACATGCGTATCTTGTATCCCTCCTGGAGGTTGTAGGTGGTGATACGGGAGGTGTTCGAGACCATAACTTGCTGCCGGGTCCAGTATGTGACGGGGTTAGGGTGAGCCTCCACCAAACACTCGAGCTGTACCTCCGTGCCCAGGGGTGTCGCCACGAGCTGACTGGGTACGTGTAACTGCGGTGGAACTGCCGAGTATATTTCATTGTGTTCTTGTATTGTATAGTGAGCATCAACGTATGTTATACAAAGCACAGCTCCCTCTCAATTTTCGAGATTTCAATTTGATTTGAAATCTTGAAAATTAAAAATCTCAAAATTTCCCTCTCGCAGTTCCCTCAATTCAGAATTTCAAGAGACGCAGGACGCAATAACACTGCGTTAGATTATTTATTATATTATATATATTATATTATATTATATTATATTACATTATATTATATTACATTATATTACATTAATTATTATGCGCAAGTTAATGAATGTAATGCTACTTTTACTTATACAATTCTGATTTTTGGTTGACTATTACTAATACATTACTAAAAATCTAAAACGCACGCTTGGTATCGTAATGTGTAACCCTTACTCACATTCGACTTCCAGCATGACGCGCTTGCTGACGGAGGGCGGGACGCTGTTGCTGGCGATGCAGAGATACGCGCCGCTGTGCGTGCGCGACACGCTCGTCAGCCGCAACTCGTCGCCGTCCTTCTGTAGGGCTATACGGGGGTATATTTTGCAGAGCTATATGGGGGTATATTTTACAGAGCTATACGGGGGTATATTTTGCAGAGCTATACGGGACATATTGTGCACAGCAATACCGGAACATATTTTGCAGAGCTACACAGGAACATTTTTTGCCAAGCTATGCGGAGATACATTTTGCAGAGGTATACCGAGACATATTTTGCAGAGCTACACTGGAACATATTTTGCAGAGCTATACCGAGACATATTTTGCAGAGTTATACGAGACATATTTTGCAGAGCTATACCGAGACTTTTTTTGCAGAGCTATACCGAGATTTTGCAGAGCTATACCGAGACATATTTTGCAGAGCTACACTGGAACATATTTTGCAGAGCTATACCGAGACATATTTTGCAGAGTTATACGAGACATATTTTGCAGAGCTATACCGAGACTTTTTTTGCAGAGCTATACCGAGACATATTTTGCAGAGCTATACCGAGACATATTTTGCAGAGCTACACTGGAACATATTTTGCAGAGCTATACCGAGAGACATTTTGCAGAGCTACACTGGAACATATTTTGCAGAGCTATACCGAGACATATTTTCCAGAGCTACACAGAAATATATTTTTCAGAGCTAAACCGGGATATTTTTTCGTGCTTTACTAATACATATTTTGCAGAGCTATATCAGGATATTTTTTGTGCAGATATAACGTGACATATTACGCAGACCTATTGCGGGACATATTTTGCAGAGTTATACCGGGACTTATTTTGCAGAGTTATACCGGGACTTATTTTACAGAGTTATACCGGGACAAATTTTACAGAGTTATATCGGGACATATTCTGCAAAGTTATACCGGATCATGGACTGAGCTATAGGGGATATTTTCCGTAGACCTATACGGAGGAATTTTCTGCAGAGCTATTCTGGGATAAATTGTACAGAGTTATATATAGAAACAGATTTAACAGAGCTATATGAGGACATAATTTGCAGAGGTATACCCGGACAAATTCTGCAGAGCTACATTACGGTGACATTACGTGGTACAGGTTCGAACCTAAATCATTATTGTGATCGTAATAACTCGAACACTTAGATTTATTTAAATTCCTTTATATTGGGCGTTTCCCATATTCATTTTAAGTTATTTCCAGCAGTTGGGGTTTTTTCCGTTATGTGAATTACAGAGTTGAAGAATAATTGAATTACATATTTATCTACTCGGTATCAATGTTCAAAGTAGGAGTCTTGAATTGGATGGTTTTCGGTATTTCCGATCTGCGTTGTTGCTGAGCGATTAAAGATGAGAGTGAGTTCTATTTATGAGTGTGCAAACTTTCATTAGTCTTTTTGGTAGATCATTTCCTACAAAGATATTCCGATTTTAAAAGTTTGTAACTCTGCTGGGAAACGCCTTTCAATAATAACTTTGTCAATAGTTTTGGTTATGTGTACTGTCATTTCAGGTTTTGAGTGAACTATTACGTGACCTCGTGTAGACCCGCCATGTACCTCGTCATTGCTATGTGATCCACCACGGGAGCGCAGCCGTGGGTAACAAAATTGACTCGTAAACAGGCCTTGGGCCCAACGCCAACCACCAGCATGCAATATCTACACATAGCCTCAGATCAATGAGCTGTGGGTAACTCCGGCTAACAGTAAATCCGCTTTGCGCAACACAGCCACTGCTTCACAGCACCGGAGCACAACTGGCCGGAGCGCAACAGGCCCTACCGCAACAGGCGCAGGTTAGGTTAGGTTAAGTTAGGTTACGTTAGGAGTAGCCTGTTGCGATAGGGCCTGTTGCGATCCGGCCAGTTGTTTTCCGGCGCTGTGAACCAGTGCCTGTGACTGAACGGCGCTGTTGTGGTGGGCGCTTTGTGTCAAAAGCCGTGAAGATGCCCGGCTGCGTTACGCTCGGGAAGGTATATGAATCGCACTGTGGACTTGGGCTATGCTGACCTCTAGCAATCCACCCATCCATCACAGAGCCGTACTCCAAAACCGTGACATGATTACGAATCAATTAATAGGCAGGAGCTAGCAAGACACACGATTTATATTTTTCTAGTATTTATCGTTCATTTATTATCATTGTTATCCATTTCTCATTTTTATTCATCCTTTATTTACTATCATTGGTCAAATGTCTGGGGTCAATGAGAGCTTATTTATTGAACAGTCCCCCTGTAAGTCAACATTCATCTCGGTGGTAAGCTAAAACATTGTTAAGAATTTCATCCGGTTTCTGATTGCAGTAATGATCTTAAATAAAAATTAATTTGTGGCAAGCGAGGCAAGATCAAATGTTGCAAATTTTATACGATGTCTCAAGCCGTCAATTTCACTAAAGAGAAGCTCATTTCGTCTATACTTCGATATTCAGTTCCAATAGTTTTTATTTTTCGTTGGCTTCTCTTTTCGACCCTCAACGTTAAGTTCTTTTCAAAAGAACGTCTAAACGTATCGAGAATTCTTTCGCTGACGTTGGTTTATGGCATGCAAATCAGCCAAGACGATGTAAATTCAACAATTGCTTCGCTCACAGCACGACTGATAGCGTCGACATTAACATCGAACGTTTGTCAAGGTGACGAACGTACGACAGAAGAATGCGATCCATGTAACGCCAGCCGAAATGCGTTTAGACCACCTGATCAATGTACGCAGAGTAAAGAAGATCGTTGTAAATAGTACTGTACCATTGAACAGCATTCAGATAATATCATTGAAGCAATTCCTTCAATTTCGATTATTGCCATACTTCCATCGATGATTGCATTTCAAATTTATATCCTTAATGGTAATTGATTTGAAATTACGAATCATGTATACAGTATACTTTTGAAGTTTATCTCATGCACAATATTATAGAACAGTTTAGAGTTCTTAAAATTTGTAAACGCGCAGCCAAGCAATTTTTACTTGAATCTTGCTGGTAAATGAGCAATGCCCCTGTGATATGAACAAGCCTGGTATTTTAACTCCCACCTTCCATATACGTATCTGCGCTACATCTGAGCTGGGAGCAGGCGCAAAGGATCCAATGTATCCTTGAAAATGATTGCTTGTTAAATTCTTGCTTTTTAGTTTTAACATAAAAATTGTTTTAGAAGAATATTTGTGCATAGATGTCACAAGAATCTACGTGTTATTCTATGATATCGCACAAACAAGTTATAATATAAGATAAAATTTTCTGAATTAAAACATACAAGAGTTTCTAGTTGCCAGACAACCTGTGCTGTTGCAAGCATCGCGTTACGTGATTTTTCAAGCAGACAAGAGCTTCTCTGTGATGATGAGACGACGCTCTGTAAGACGACGCTCATCGCAACGCTGCCGCGCTCGAGTGCTCTTCAGGTGGTGGGGTGGCAACGAGAACAGTAGAACACTGTTCTCGTGGTAGCTGCCACTGTTCTCGCGGTAGCTGCCACTGTTCTCGTGGTAGCGGCCACTGTTCTCGTGGTAGCTGCCACTGTTCTCGTGGTAGCGGCCACTGTTCTCGTGGTAGCGGCCACTGTTCTTAGCTGCCACTGTTCTCGTGGTAGCTGCCACTGTTCTCGTGGCAGCTGCCACTGTTCTCGTGGTAGCTGCCACTGTTCTCGTAGTTAAGGAACTTGCCACTATGTTCTCCTGCCGGTGGCCAGGCGTCAACGGAAACAGCATCTGCCACTGTTCCCGTAGTATATAGTTGCCACTGCCCTCGTAGTTGAGGCAAGTTGTCACTGTCTTAGTGGCAAGTGCTTGCCACGTCCATTACAGCAGTTGAATGAGCATGGACAGTGTAAATGCAGCAGCTAAGTCGGATGAAGCAGGAGCACGGATAGTGATGGCATTTTTCGCAGCTGCGGCTCTCATTAACTTAGTGTCAGTGACAGTAACTATAACTGTGTCCGTCAGTAGAGATTGTTTAGCAAGCATAATCTACTTCACTACTTGCCACATCGTCTGCCGCTGTTGCAGTGAGATTAAATGCTTCTTACGGAGCATTTCACTCGACTACCGCGATCGTGTCGAATGTGGTGATTTCAGAGTGCTATTTTTAATGAGCGGGATTAGCGACTTCGAAAGATATTTCAATGTCCAGATCAGTGTTGATACATTTTTGGGTGTAACGCGCTTACAGCGAGGCATCTAACAAGCGAACTCGTACCAATGATGCTTAAAATAAGGTAATTATTTTAATTTTCTAATGGACATTTGTGCATCACATGCAGTGATCATGCATCTTCTTTTTGTTGCGCTGGCACAGAGCACCGCTCACGCAGTGCTATTCACCGTTCGCTGTGCTGGTGCAGAGCACCGCATGCAGTGTTCTTTTACCTCTTACTGTGTCGCTTGTTTTCCTTCGGCCACCTCAGGTCCAGCAAAAATTCACCGCAAGTGACTAACGAAGGCCAACGTTAGCGCGTCAAAGTTCAATCGTGCGCGCGAGGTACACTGAAAATGTCGGTCTCGGGCCAGTGACGGGCAAGAGCCGTCAATAAGTTCGTCGTGACGTGTCGTCAAAGAACCAGCAGGAACACGGAAAGAAAGCATGAGGATATTTGCATGGGGCTGGAGAAGCGAGGCCTTGTGTTGGGGTCCAGAATTATCGCGTCTTCCTGCCGCCTCTCTCTAAAGTTTTTTTTTTCTGTAAGAGATCTACTGCTTGAATATGGAAATGATATTGGCAGCATGAAGAAGAGGGAGAAGAGGTGAGGCGCGTCTTTCTAGGTGTGGTTCCTCCCAACACAAGAAAAAGTCCGCTTCATTTGCTCGAGGTGAAAAAATCGACTTGGAAATAAATGAGCTGAATTTGTTTAGCTCTTTCGTAATGTTCGTCTGCGGAAACTCGCGGACGCTCAGGAATGTCTCAATGATAAGTACAGAAAAGAATTTATTCAGGTTTGAAGTTTTGCAAGATAAAAAAATTAAAAGAAATTATTTTAGGCATTTTCTCGTGCATGAGTGTCACATTTTAAATCAATTTTCAAATGAATAAGCTTGACAATAAATTC